TATATATATATATAAAGTACAACAGCAACTGGCATAGACTAAAAATTTCATCAAGTAGTCCAAGCAGCATTTCATAACATTTCTCAAAAAGTTTCTTTTGACACACTGGGTAAAAAAAGTAACATCCTTAGCTGAAAGCCTTCCTGACCATGCAACTTAAAACAGTGACTAGTTTCTGACACTGCATTCAGTCATACTTTGATCTAATAATAAACCATTAAGCCATCATTAATGCATTAAGCCATAAACCACTGTTTATAAATTACAATGAAGGGGTTCATACAACACCGTATAAAGGCTTAAGTTCATGCTGTGACTCTCACCTGAGACGTTTTCAGACTGTCCTTTCCTAGTACTATCCAAATTATGCTACTAATTCACCTTTCTTCTGTCCTTAAATAAATATTGTGATGTGAAATAAGCCAAGTAAGAATCATGGGAGGGCTGCAGAGAGAATACAATATTTCTGGAACCCCCTCTAAAATCCTGTAACAAGTAGGATCTTTTCAGACGCAAAAAAACCTTATCTGGAAATACCCTTGGAAATCCATTTTGACCAAGTAGATACCACCCTTGAGACAAACTCAGAAGGACTCAAATGGGTGATGGCCTTGGGTGATGGCCAGAACATTTTGGAAGATAAATATGGGAGAAATCATCAAGGAGGGATGGAAGGACTAAAAAAGGATCAGTAACAATACATGGGCTAAGCATGTCTGTAGCCAAGTAGAATCTGTAACTGACTAACAAAGGTGGAACTAAAACAGAATATTCCAAACAGAATGAATATTTTATCAGTGTTCTAATCCTTCAGGGTACCCACAGGGACCAAATGTTAACACTCAATGAATAGAAGGCATTTCTGAATGATTAATTACTTTGGAACAGCTCTGCCCCATTTTGGCACACTCCAGATGGATGGTCTTCTATTCCCAGAATTCCCCATAATGGCCATGACAGCGGGGGAATTCTGGGAGCTCATTTGACACATCTGCTGGGTCTTTTGAAGTTTATAACTTAACCCAACAATTAAGCTGGTGAACGCAACAGATTAAGGTCTGGGAAGAAATGCAGAGAACAGTGTTCGAAAAGAACCATGACGGTAACAGAAAGAGAAATTATTTAATCTGACCAGTGCTAATCCTGAGGGACTTTTATATAATTTGAAATGACTGACTGTAAAGGATCAAGCAAAGCAAAAGGAAAGAAAGCTTTCCTGAAGAGCATTTAGGAATTGTTGTGGAGAAATAAGCACAGGCGAACGTGTGACAAAATATTAATTAAATCAGTAAGGACCAGCGTCTTTGTGTTGGATTCTTTCTACTAACTGTTAAGCACAGTGGGTCGCAGAAGAGCAAAGGTACATACAATCTACTGCCTGCAGTGAAAGGAGCAGTCACAACATGTTGAAAGGTAATACGGCTTACCCGTGCAGAAAGCAGGAGGATCAGTTGGTTCCAGAAAAAATGTCCTGGTCCTCAAATCTCAAAGCAACACAGGGGCAAAGGCTGGAGGTAGACTGAGAAAACAGAAGGAAACTGTTTATACAGACCCAAAGCAACTCCTTTTGGTGGTCCCTGGGGCAGGGCTACCAAATCTGTGTGGCAAAAATCCTGATGCCCACTTAATGCCACAGAGCTAAGAGATTCCTGCACCTCTTTGCTTCCATACTTAGTGATTTGCTGGTTTTGGGCAGCCCAGATCTTCAGCCCTTTGTAGAGTCCTCTCCAAACGCAAAGCAGACTTCAAACAGTTTAAAAACAATGGAGAAAATCCATGAAAAGAGGAAATCTTGCCCCCATGCATGTCTGTGACATGGTCCCTTCCTCTTTTCACCCTTGGGTCACTTTCTAGAGCAATGTTTCTCAACCTGGGCAACTTGAAGATGAGTGGACTTGCTGGTGGGGGAACTCTGGGAGCTGAAATACACACATGTTCAGCTTGTCCAGGTTGAGAAACACTGCTTTAGAGGATCAGAATCCACTTCCACAGATACATAAGAATGTAATTCTCAGGTGGAATCCTCACGCTGGGGACAGCATGCTGGCTGAGTGGACTTCAACTCCCAGAATTCCCCAGCCAGCATACTGGCTGGGGAATTCTGGAAGTTGAAGTCCACACATTTTCCAGTTGCCCAGGTTGAGAAACACTGCTTTAGAGGATCAGAATCCACTTCCACAGATGCATAAGAATTTAATTCTCAGGTGGGAGAAAGGCCCAATATGAAGGAGGGGAGGAGAACAAAATAGGCTAGATGGTGGCCTGTGAAGTGGCAGTGTTGGCGGGGTGGGGGAGAGAGATTATTATAATCAGCATTCAAAACTGGATAATTCTTGATGCAAGATTTGGGGTAGAGAGCAATGCTGCACAGAATGTTGGAGGCTACTATGGGTTTTGTGTCCAAAGGCACCGGGTGCCAAGGCAATAATCTGATTGGCAAGACAGAGAACAATGATCTCCTTGGAAAACTCCAGTTTCTAGCCCATTATGACAGCGTTATTGTGAAACAGAAACAAGTTTCGACAAGCTCAGGAAATGTCTTTGGTTTTAAGCCAGCTCTTAGTACCGCAGCTTTAATCCCAAAATGTAAAGCATTTTTAAAATGTTCTGCGGTGAAGAGGCCCAGTATTCATAAGTACCGAGTTTAAAAAGAGATTCTGGAACTACCAAAAAGTTGTGTTATGAAACCAGCATTGCAAGTTATGGCACTGATTACCAATTCAGATAGGGTTTTTTTTTAAGAGAAAAAAAGTTGGGGGGAGAGACAAAACCAGGATAACGGTGTCAATCTATGCATTTTAGAATGGAGTAGAAGGATTTACAGCCATCCAGAAAATGAGTAAATTCAGTAAGCAGATTAATTGTGTTATCTGAATGCAGTCTGTCTCTCTGTATATGTACAAGTAGAAACATAATTAGCTTTTCCTTCAAGAGTTGATCTGAGAAGCACAGGTTCAAGTCTCTGCCAGAAACTACTTGCACACACTTAACAGGTTTGAACATTATACTGAACTATGATTTACTTATCCATGGTAAGTAAGACAATCTAAGAACAACAATCTAAGCCAAAAACTATGATCTACAAATCACTGGATTCCCCTTGCGTACCAAATCAAACAAAATCAATACATATTATGGCTCAGTGAAATGACTTTATTACACCTTGTCCAGCAAACTGTATTTACAGGCAGTCCCTGGGTTAAGAACGAGTTCCATTCCTAAGCCTGTCTTTAACTAGAATCTGTATGTAGGTCGGAACTCGTACTTATGGACGGGCTGCCTGTTGCTAAAAATGGTGGATGGAGTTCTCCTTTCTGGGCTGATGAACCGTTGAAGCCACATAATGGTTTCATGAACCACTGAAAACCAGCCGTATATGAGAAACATGCAGCTTCAGCTCGTAAGTATGAGTTGTAACTGGGATATTCTTCACTCGGGAACTGCCTGTATTACAAACCATGATTTAGTGTTACTTACAACTGCCCGCAGCATCTGAAGCTCATCTCCGGCCCGGCCCTGATTTGTAAGAAAGGAATTGAGGAAATTTCCTTCAACTTAGTGACACCACTGGCCAGTTCTAGAGCAACCTGATGTGCTCCGAATGTCCAGGAGTCACAATAAGTACAACTGTCAACAGCGATGAGACTTGTAGTCCAGACTTACAGAAAGCACGTGCTCATTACCCCTGCTGTGTAGAACTCCAATTTACAGCCTCCTTCCAATCTATCTAGAGAAAGCAGGAATGGGATCTCCAAGCTCCTGCAGGCAAATGCATGCTCTGCTTCTCGGTTTGCATTTATATCTGGACTGTAGCAAAGCTCACCACAGGAAATAAAGCTATGCAAAACCAGGTTGCCGCTTTGAAAAATGTATACAACAGGGTTTCTCAACCTTAGCAACTTTAAAATGTGTGGACTTCAATTCCCAGAATTCCCCAGCCAGCATGGCTGGCTGGGGAATTCTGGGAGTTCAGGAAATAAAGCTTTGCAAAACCAGGTTGCCGCTTTGAAAAATGTATACAACAGGGTTTCTCAACCTTAGCAACTTTAAAATGTGTGGACTTCAATTCCCAGAATTCCCCAGCCAGCATGGCTGGCTGGGGAATTCTGGGAGTTGAAGTCCACACATCTTAAGGTTGCCAAGGTTGAGGAACACTGGTATACACTATAACACGTACAGAGAATAAAAAGAGCTTTAAAAGGCCTGGGTCTAATGAGAATGGTTGAAAAGTATCAACGGAATGAAGAAGTTATTATACTCTTTGCAAACACCCTAAGGTGTTGCATCGACACGAGGCTGACGGCTGTGAGAAACCAACTGCTTTTATTCAAAAGGGTTGTTTCCTGGAAGTTTCACGTCACTCCGTAGCTAGAAGCCTGCAAAGTGTGTCCACATACACACACGTTAAGCAGGGAGGCGCACACATTTTCCCTACCAAAATATCACACAGTGCATGCAATCATCCAAATTCCCTACCTTAGATAGAATATTATGCCAACGCTGATTATTTTTAAAATCAGTACCACCAGAATCTGAAATAGCTTGGTATAACACAAGTTACCTTACACCCCAGAGAAGTTAGCATATGCCCCTTCTTTTAAAAACTCCCCGTCAAAAAAACCTCCCCTTCTGCTGACAAAAATGTGTCAAACAGCACCATGTACAACAAAACCAGTCTGGGTTTTTTTATTAGTAATATTTTGTATTATATGCTAGTGAAACTTACATAATACATTATAGTGTTTCAATACAATGGCATTAAAGATTATTAATGCTGTAATATTTAGATAACTTAGATAAAAGGAAGAAATAAATATTATATCAATATTCATTATGATTTACAGGTAGTCCTTGGGCAAAAACTATTCATTCAGCGACTGTTCAAAGTTATGATCGCGCTGAACGAATGGTACTTATGACAGGTCCTCGTAGTTATGGCCATCGCAGCATCCACACGGTCACATGATCGTGATTTCCGACGTTCCCTGCTGGCTTCCCACAAGCAAAGTCAGTGGGGAAGCTGGCAGGAAGTCAGAAGTCCCGGTCATTTGAGATCCTTGTTTAACTATGGCAGCTGGGCCTGCTGGAATTGCCACCGCTAAACGATGCGGTCACGTGACGTCATGCTTTAGCGATGGCGTTCCCGGTCCCAATTACCGTCGTAAGCTGAAGACTACCTGTAAAATGTTAATGAGTGTTAAGATTATTTAGCTTTTTCATCCAGAATTGAATATAACGTTAAAAGCCATTGCAGGTTGCATCAAAGTATTTGTTGTACAATAAAGGTTCTGGTCTTGAGCTGTTGACTTAGTATTAAGGTCTCCATCATATTGTTACTTAATATGGTTTGGGCCTGTTGCTAAAAGAAAAAAGATGAACAAAGTCAATTTAACAATGATTAAAATACCAAAAAAGAAAAGAGAAAAAGGAAAAAAGAAAGAAGCTATTTGGGTTTTTTTTTTTTAATAGCTGTTGCTATTTCCCCTTGCCTGCTCTCCTCCTTCCAGTTTGATTTGATTTAACCATTCGGAAAAAAAAATCCTGGAGAGCATGAAAGCACGCTGATAACTTTTGTGCCACTTTGGGGACAGCCTTATCAAGATATTATCTTCCTCTGGCTTTTGCGCAACAGCCATTGAAATGGCTTTTTCCACCCGCTGAGAAAGCCACTTTGCCCAAAGGAAATTTCTTTCAAATTTTACAGACCAAGAGATCAGAAAGTACATAATTTGCAGATAGTGGCAAGAGGGCAGAACAACATGCACACAAAAAAGAGGCAAATAATCCACACAGGAGGTGCAAGGGGCTTATGGTTTGAAGAACCCTTTTGTTTCAATGGTTACAGAGTAGGCTCCCTGGAAGAGACAACGTCTCAGGAAAAGAATAAGCCCAAATTCCCCCCCCCCCGCTTCATTATTAAATATCTACTTTTATGAAGAGGAAACTACCAAGAAATTTCCTCTTTTGTCTTGTTGATAATTAAATCGGGCAAACTGAACAAGTTGTTGGAAAGTTAATAACTTGTTCAGATTCCCCAATTTAATTATCAACAAGACAAAGCTACAAAAATAAAATAAAAAGTTAAAAATACAAGATAAAAGATAAAGTTTGATCTAGTGGTTAAGCCCCAGGCTAGAAACCAGATAACTATGAGTTCTAGTCCCGCCTTAGGCATGAAAGTTGGCTCGGTGACTTTGGGCCAGTCCCTCTCTCTCAGCCCAACCCACCTCCCAAGGTTGTTGTTGTGGGGAAAAGAGGAGGAGGAAGGTGTATTAGGTAGGTTCGCCGCCTTGAGTTATTTATAAAAATAATAAAGGCGGGATAAAAAATCTAAATATCTCTCTCTCTCTTTCAGGATTCTTACTTTGCAGTAGTCTAGTCTACCTGACTGGTTTCAGTATCTTCAAATAAGTGGTCAAGGAGAAGCTATTTTCTCTTTCCCCAAATGCAAAAACCAAAAGTCACCCAATGCAGCTGGTTGGCCACTGGGAGAACAGGCTGGGCCAGGGGTCCAATCCAGCAGAGCATGGCTTATGTTCTTAAGCAGCATACC